TTTTAGTTGTCCAGATAATTACTTTCTATTTTTAGTAGAGACAGGGGTCTCACTCTTGCTCAGGCTGGTCTCGAACTCCTGACCTTGAGCGATCCGCCTGCCTCGGCCTCCCAGAGTGCTAGGATTATAGGCGTGAGCCACCACGCCCGGCCTACTTGAAGCTCTTAACACTAAGGATTGAAAAGACATTTATGATATTATCTGCATTTTAACTTTTTACAATAAGAATTTTTTAAAGCTTTCAAAAAAATAAAAAAAAAGACATAAAGGTAACTTGAAAATTATTGCCAAATTCAAATTATTACTTGGTCACTGTAATATCCAGTTCTAAATCACTGAGACCATAGTTTCCTCTCTACATATGTTTTTGTTTTCTTTTTCTTTTTTAAAGAGACAGGGTCTTGCTCCGTCACCCAGGCTGGAGTGCAGTGATGCCATTATAGCTCTCTGCAGCCTCAAACTCCTGGGCTCAAGTGATCCCCCCATCTCAGCCTCCTTAGTAGCTGGGACTGCTACTAATTTTTTGTAGAAATAGGGTCTTGCTATGTTGCCCAGGCTGGTCTCCAACATCTAGCCTCAGCAATCCTCTTGCCTTGGCCTCCCAAAGTGTTGAGATTACAGGTGTGAGCCACTGCACCCAGCTTACGTATGCTTTCTGTATAGTTGGGGCATAGTTTCTATGTACAGTCGTGTGTTACTTAATGATGAGAGTACATTCTGAGAAATGCACCATTAGGTGATTTCATTGTTGTGCAAACATCATAAGAGTATACTTACACAAACCTAGATGGTAGAGACTACTATACACCTTGGCTATCTGGTGTAGCATATTGCTTCTAGGCTACAAACATGTACAACATGTTACTGTGCTGAATACTGTAGGCAACTGTAACACAACAGTATTTGTGTATCTAAACATAGAAAAGGTACTGTAAAAATACAGTATAAAAGATAAAAACTGTTGTATAGGGCATTTACCATGAAAGACTGGAAGTTGCTCTGGGTGAGTCAGTGAGTGACAGTAGTTAGTGAATTGGAAGGCCTATTATGGTACACTACAGTAGACTTCATAAACACTGTAAATTTAGGCTACACTAAATTTATAAAAAATTTTTTTCTTTCATCAATAAATTAACGTTAGCTTACTAAAACGTTTTTACTTTATAAGCTTTTTACTTTTTTTAACTTTTTGACTCTTTTGCAATAATGCTTAGCTTAAAACACAAACACATTATACAACAGTACAAAAATATTTTCTTTCTTTATA